CATGTGGACACGCCTAATTCTGTTGATAAGAAAGTGCAACTGGCAGGCACAGAGACGCAAGTCAGGGAGAAGCAGGCCCCAGAATACAGACCGCCCCTGCTGGGTGTGGCAGGTGTTGGGTGGGGGCGGCACAGTCCTCAGGCAGCTCCTGCCCCCCCACCCTCAGCCCCCACCTCCTCTCCACAGCGAGCGGGAGACACCGCCGCTCCAGCCTGCTGCTGGCCGAGGGGAGTGGGGAGAAAGGGAGTCACTTGCATATTTGCAGGAAGGCAGTTACACTAACACATTCAATTATTTAACGGACAGGCTGTATTTCATGCTGCACGTCCCTGGCATTTTTAGTGGCATCTCTGGTGCTCTGTCCTTGCACGGAGGCCTCCCGGCCCTATCCTAAGCAGCCCGCAGGCCTGCTGCCCACCTGGGCAAAGGCAGGTGCTGCCCTTGCAGCAGGCAGTCGTCGTCAGTCAAGTCAGTCCGATTTTGTATGAGCAAGGACTGGACAGTCCCCGAGGGGTGGGGACCCTCCAAAGGCGGCCACTACCAGGAGCTGGGTGCTTAGGCCAGGGTGCAGGCGTCCCCACCACCTTGCACTCTGTGCCAAGTGCCCCTACCACCGAGGAGCCCTCCTGCAGTTCCCCCAAGTGAAAAACCCCCTCCTCCCACCAGCCCATCCCAAGCCCAGCTTAAACACCCCTGCTCCCGTGCCCACCTGGGTGGGCGTCCCCCTCCCCTGAAGCCTGTGTGATTACCTGGCCCGCGTCACTGCGTTCTCCCCGTGGGTCTCTGTGGGGTGGGCGTTTGGGGTGGGCCCCCCTGGGCCGCGCTGTTGTGAGGGGTCGCCTGCAGCTGGCCAGGGGCCTCCCCTCTCCTGTGTGTCCCAGGCCCCCCGTTTCTCCCTCGAGGCTCGACTGTGCTTCCCCCAGTGGGGGGGTCCCGGGAGCCGGCGTGCAGGAGAGCCCGGTGGAGGCCTTTTCTAACCTGGTCTGGAAGCTGTGACGTGGCCTTGGAATAGTCAGAGCTCGCCCAGATTTGAGGGCAGACAGAATTTGGAGGCCAGATTTTGACATCCGATGTGCTACTCAGGCCAGGGTGGGTCTCCCTCCCGTGAGCCTGCCTTCCCCAAGATGGCACAAAGCTGCAGGGTCCCCAGGATTTCCGTTCCCAGTGTGGGGCACAGGGTCCCGGTTCCTCCTGATGCTGGGTGTTTCTGGGGAGGGGCCAGGGCACATGGGGCCAGGAGCTCTGGTTCCAGGGGTTCCCCAAACACCAGCACCCTGTGAGCACGAGCATGTGTCCAGGCAGAGACAGAGTTCAGGCTAAGGTCTCGAGGCGGGAAGATGCAGGGGGAAGGGCAGAGACGGGCACATCCCAGCAACCTCAGGGCCTGGCTGGAGGCAGGGAGGCCGCGGGGCCTCAGTTCAGGCCCAGTGAGGCTGGCAGACAGCAGGTTTTGTCCTCTCTGCAACTCCAGTGTCATCTCAGTAGATGGCTGGGGCGGAGGGCACAGGGTCCCCAGGGGAGAGGCAGAGACAGGAGTGAGCTGGAGGGGACGCATGACCCAAAGCTGCTGCTTTGTGGCATAGGAGGAGGGGGTGGCAGGGAGGGGACCCTGAGGTCTCTGCAAGGGGGCACACGGCTGCCAGTAGTCCACGGGCTCGGGGGTCCACCTACTGGGCTTTGGTCACTTTTTGAGTGTCCCCAGGCCCTTCACCCTGAAGGTGGAATGGAGAGAAGACCACCTGCAGGGTGTTAGCAACAGGCAAGTGTCCCCCACTGCCGGGCATCATCTCTCGCCTACCTGCTGCAGGGGCATGAAGCCCAGTGGAGTGCTGGGCGGGTGGCAGCACCAGCCCTGTAGGGTCTCCTGTCTGCCTTCTAGCCCCTGCTCAGGGGACCCAGGGCCAGTAGGGCTGTTGGGGCATCGTGGTGCCGGGTCAGGGCAGAAGCTGGGCTGGGCTGGCCTGTGAAACCATGAGACCAGTGCCTCTGCACCAGGGAAGCCGTCAGCTAGGTGCCAAGGAGGAGGAGTCAGGACCCCCTGCCCCACGAGGGGCTGGAGGATGCGGCCAGCCCGTTGTGCCCTGGCAGCCCACTCCCCTGTGAACTGCGCCAGTATTCCAAAGGCCAAAGGGCCAAGCTTGCCTTTAATTAAAATGCACGTCCTTTAATTAAAAGCCCTATAACACATGAAGGGCATCCAGTGAAATACGACGTGTGGCACCATTTCCCTGCTGTTAATTACTAATTAATGAAGCTATTTCAATTAATAGCTTCCCCACCTCGCTCCCCCTTTGACAGGCCCCCTGCTGGGGCACATCCCTGAACCAGACATCAGCTCCCATGCCCGTAGTCAGGGCACTGAATATTCATGTGACTTCAGCGCTTTTCAATTAAACATAATAAAGTAAATCCTGTCAAAAGTGTATTTCCAACATGCAGCCCACCTCCCCTTCCTCGAGACCCAGCAGAGGGACAGACTGGCTCCCCTGCAGACGGTCATACAGAATGTGGCTGGTGATCCTGGAAGGTGCCCAAGGGCATTCCTGCCCGGGGTGCCCTGCACATCCCACCAGCTTCAGGGATGACCCACCCAGGGGTAGAGATGTCCAGGAGTCCCTGAGGGGCAGGTGGGGAACCCCAGGGCCCTGCAGTCCTGGGGAAAGACAGAAATAGGGCTTGGAGGGTGGAGGGGTGTTAACATGCTAGTTATGAATATTAAGTGACCATTAAAGAAATGACAGAAAAAGGAGCGATCCCACGTGTGGGCAGGAGATGGGGAGGGCACCGGGGAGCCCCATGGGGCTCTCGGGGTCTGTGCACAGGCTGCCAGGGTGGCCTGGACAGTGCTGGAGGGACGCTGGTGGAGGCCAGCTGGAAGTAGCTCCTGGGCGTGGCTCTGAGCAGGGCCACCCTCTTCGTGATGTCTGAGCTCCTGCTGCAGCCCCACTACTCCCAGCACCCCTGTCGAGCCACGGTCAGCCACGCCAGGGAGGGGAAGAGGGTGAGGCCAGCTCCTCTCCACAGCTGCTGTGATGGAGCCCACCTGCAAGGTCCCGGCTGCAGCCTTCTCTGCCCCCTTAGAGGCAAAGAAGAAAATCCATGGGTGTGAGAGGCACCCCAGGCCCAGCCCCTCTGGTCCTGCGGGAGAGCCTCACGCCCTCCTTCCAAATGTCGCTGTGCGCTCCCCAGGGCCCAGACCGTCCCTGCACCTGTTCCCTTTGTCAGAGGCCGGGGCACAAACATCACTGATGGGCGCCTGACCCGCAGCTGCGGAGGACCTGACAGCTGCTCCGGGGGCTCACGTGGGCACAGCCTGGTGGACGGCGCCCTCTGTCGGCCGGCTGAGGGGCGGCAGTGGCCTGGCCCCCCGTGGGGGGACCCCTGGTCGGGCTGAGCAGGCCCGTGTGCGGCCCCAGGTGGCCAGAGCTCCCCTCTCAGGAGTGACGGCGCAGCGGTTTGGTGTTGGGTGAAGAGGCAGGTTGAGCCGGATGCCTGCTCCACTCTCAGCCGTGCTGCTTCTGCCCCCCACTGCCTCCTGCCTGACCTGGGCTCCCAGCAGGGCTGCCCCCGGGCGGGGATGTGCCCGAGCCTGGCCACACCAGATGGGTTGAGCCAGATCCCTGGCGTGGGAACACCCTGCCTGCAGGGCACCCCCCTTTGCCACCAGCACCCTCTCTGCTGGCTAGTATTTCCCCCAGACTCCTTGCAGCTCTCTGCCTTGAAAAGGGTTAGGGAGACGGCAGCCAGCTCCAGGGTGACCTTCCCGGCGGGCAGGGCAGTGCTGGGAGGAGGCAAGACCCATGTGAGGCGTGCCAGGGGGCGTCCCTAGATCCACACGCCAGTCTCCCTTCTCCCTCTCCCGCCTGCCTTCTGGGAGGAGGTGACAAGGGATGACCAGGCATGGAGCCCAGGGGCCCTGGGGCGTGGTTTGCACACCTGACTTAGGTCCCCCTTCTGAGTAGAGCCCGCCATCCCTCCTGGGCCCCACATCCCCTGGGGGCGCTAGGCACCCACCCTGGGCAATGTGCCCATGAAGGGCTGTCCCCTACCTCACATTCCCTGAGTTTACTGTGGGTCAGAAACAAAGGTGGTGTCACCTGCATGTTCACAGCAACCGCGAGGCAGGAATGACCCAAACGTCTGCCCTCAGATGGATGCGTTGTACGCATATGAATTTTTAAGGCAGAACAGCACGCAGCCTGAGGAGGGAGGAGCATGGTGCCACGTGACATGACACAGCTGGCCCTCGAGGACATGACGCCGAGTGCTGAGCACCACACAACATACACTGTGATGCCACAGTCTTGGGGCACGTCGAGTGGTCAAACTCACAGGACAGACGGTAAGTGGGGGCGCCAGGGGGAGGGGAGCGGACAGAGCTGTTTGGGAGGATGGGAGATGCCGGGGATGGCCGCCCGGCAGTGAGGTGCCAGTGCCCCGAGCCGCACACTGACAGTGGCTACCGCGGCGGACTGTGTGCTGATGAGGTCGCAGTAGTGCACAGGTGCCCTCCGGGCCAGCACCTGCCAAGCGTCTGGCGGTTCCTGGGAGGACCTCCAGGGCGTGCAGGTGAGTGCCTTTTTTGGGGAACCAATGTTCCAGGGCCTCTGCAGACCATCAGGCGGGTCCGCCAAGGCCACACCCCTTTTGTAATCCAGGGTGTTCCCTTCAGATTCTTTCTGATCGAAAGCGGGACGACTGGAGGGGAAAATGGGTGCTTAAAGGGAAAATCCTGCATTGTCCTTGCAAATGTTCAGGGGTCCCGCACAGCAGGAGCTCTGGAGAGCGGAGGTCTCACCCGCAGACCAGTGAGCAGTGCTTCGGCGCGGCTGCGACACCGGCCTCGGCCCTCGGGACACCTGGGCCTCCCTGCCCGGAACCGGGTCTGCTCTGGAGCCCCCTTGCCCTGGCTACAACACTGCTGGCTTCCTCAGGAATGAGTTCAATAAGATGTCAACAGGTGTTTATTCTTTTAAAACAAGGTGTTATTAAAGTAAGTCTTCCTTTTAAATAGTTTAATAGTCATCTATGAAATACATTTTTGGTGTGATTTTCTGCGTGTTTAGTGTCTTTTCTCTACATCGACATCTCGCAAAATCTACTATTACTTCATGAGGCGACCTGTTTCTCCGTCATAAAGGGGAGGGTGAGAGACGGCACAGCTGGCCTGGTTCCAGGAAGCTTCTTGGGCAGGAGGGGGTGCCCAGGCTCCCCTCACAGGTGGGTCACCAGGTGCCAGGACACAGAATGCATGGCTAGGGCTGGGCAATCCCACACAGGCTGGGGGTACTGGGGGCAGGGGTCCCCAGAAGTGGGCATGGGCATCCAGCCTGCTACCCACCCCTTGACTGGGGTCTCAGCCTGGCTGCCTAGAGTAGCAGAAGCACACGGCCCCCCAACGGCCTTCATCTGGTGCACAGACAGCCCCACTGAAGGTCACAATCGAGCCTCAAGCACAGAGAAACAAAGCGAAGCAGGTTTTGGGGGTCAGACTCAAATCCAGCAACCGGCCCTGCAGTGAACGGCCCTGCAGTGACAGGCAGGCCCTCCTGCAGGGGGGCGACGGGCCGACTGTGTCGGTGATGAAGCTGCTGCTACTGAAAGTACCAACCCTGCTCACCCAGCAGGGGAAGCTGAGGCCCAGCCAGGTTGCCCAGCTCCGCACTCACACACCCCAGTCAGGGGTGGGAGGCTCTTAAACTGACCCGGGGCCCCGAGGCTGATGGCACCCGGGGGATGGCCGAGTCCCTGGGGGACGGTCAGATCCCCAGGGAACTCTTGGGTCCTGGAGGACACTCAGGTGTCCAGGGGTGGCTGGGTAGCTAGAGGTCCTGGCGGGCGGGGCTCAGGTCCACCCGCTGGGCTTCTCCGAACACCAGGAAGGCACCCAGCCCCAGGCTGCTGACGACAGCCACCAGGTTGAACACGGGCGTCCAGGAGCCTGCGGTCTCAGTGAGGTAGCCACCCAGGCACACACCCACGACACCTGCACCAGAGAGGGGGCAGGCAGGCTGAGGGCTCCGCGCAGGCCCAAGGGCAGTGCAGGGACGGGGCAGACGCGAACCCAGGGGGCTGAGCTGCCACGCCCAGGAAGCCGGCTTCCGCCTCGGAGGGACAGCGATGTTGAGGGCCACCCAGGAAGTCGCCCATGCATCCCCCATGTCCTCCCCAAGGGAACGAGCCTGTCACTGCCACCTGAGTGCTGGCCTCATGGGGACCCCGGGCCACAGGAACCTGACGCGTGTGTGGGTCGGGTCAGGGCTACGTGCTGCCGGAGAAGTGACCACAGAAGGCCTCACGCTGTTCTTGCCCCGGGTCCGCTCTGGGGTCTGTGCCCCCCAACACACTGGTCTGGCACTGTGGGAGCCCCCCTGGAGGGCGCCATGCCCAACCTGTGGGGCTGGAGTGGCCAGAGGTGGGGAAGGGCACAGGACGGGGGAGAACAGGAGACACCCTCGGGCCTCAGGGCTTGAACCCCTCAGGCGGGAGACCCCAGCCCACCTCTCACCTGCCAAGGCCCCGGCTGTGTTGGCCACGCCTGTGAACAAGACAGAGCGGGCAAGGACAGGTCAGAGAGGCCGCCTGTGGCTACCCGTGGCCCCGCGGCCTAGGGCAGACCCTGGGGGCACTGGGGCGAGCAACACCCAGGCTGGGGGCAGCTGTTCCTATTCAAGCAGGTCCTCACCAAACAGAAAACCAGCGCAGGAGGGGGCCAGGTCCTGGATGTTGACAGAAATGCCACTGCGGGAAAGAGGAGGAGGCTGTGAGGCACCCCGTGGGGGCTGCCACCCCACTAAGCCAGCTGCCGGTCCTCTGAGCTCCCAGAGCCTGGAGACCACCCAGGGGGCTCAGGACCCAGCCTGGCTGCGCCCAACCGCCACACCACAGTCTCAGCCACCATCTCAGGGGGAACACAGCCCATGCTCAGGACAAAAAGGGCAACGCCAGTGCATGCTCATCACTGCCCACGAATTTCAAAAATGACATAAAATTGCCAATTCCCAAAACAGCTTCCTGTGAAGATTTCCCAGTTAAACACCTGCTGCTGGGCTCATCGGAGGCCCACAGGCCAAGAGGAAAGATGGACAAGCCCCCTCCTCCGCCCATGTTTGGTACGAAAGAGGTCATGTGGAGGGTGCAGCTCTCCCAGCCCCTCCAGGCACAGTGTTTGTTTTTCCAAATGGCCCAGGTGCACGCTGGCTTGGAACCCAGACAGCCCTTGGCCTCTGCTGCTCACCCGTGGGGACCTGCCACAGGCCCACTCCCCGTGGCCCTGAGCCAGGCAGGCCGCAGGGCACGTGGTGCTGGGGCAGCTCCCATGGACCGAGTGTGCAGCCCTTACCTGTGGTTGAAGGTCTGGAGGCCGATGGAGGCTGATGCAAAGACCACAGACTTACAAAAGCTTGAAGTGTGACCCAAACACAGGGCAAAAATGCTGGACAGGCCAAGGCCCATGACCTGCGGGATTGATGGCTGGTGGAGGGGCTGTGCCAGCAACAGGGGCCCTCCCTGGAGCCACCTGCGGTGCGCTGAGCAAGGGTCATTGTGGAGGACCCCTCCCAGGCCGGAGCCCCCCGGGGACACATGGGTCAAGGCTCCCTGGTGAGCCGGCCCCACTGCAGGAGCTAAAGGGTGAGACCCAGAAGTGAGTGCCAGGCTCAAGGCACAGACAGCCCGCACACACAGCTCAGAGAAGGGCTTCGGGTCGGACAAACCTCCTCAGCACCGACCCAGGCACCCTCTGGCCACCTTCTGGGTCTGGTGACTTAGGAACACAACCCTCAGGTCCCAGGAACAAAACAAGGGCATCCAGAGAACGCGGCTCCACAGCCTCCCTACCTGCATGAACTTCCGCACGGTGATGGTCCTATAACCTGAACAGACGGAGACCCACAGATGTCGGCCCATTGCACTGACCCGATAGCACCTTAGGTCCCACCCTCTCTGCTGGGGAGAGGAGGGCTGGCCCCCAGCTCAAAATGGGGTGTCCAGTGCCATGGGTGAGCTGTGTGCACACGTGCGTGCATATGCACGTAGAGGGGTCCGAGGCCGAGGCTGGCAGACCACAGGAGGAGGGCCTCTGGGAGCTTTCTTATGGGTAGGGTGGGTGTGTGAGACTTCTGTAACCAGGAAGGACTAGCATTCAAGTGTGAGCATATGTGTGCAGAACGTGGGGAATGTGTGTCAGTGAGAGTGCGTGCACACTGGGGCCTGGGCTTGCACTGACACACAGCCCACCACGGACCTATGACCTCTGGCCCTGCTGGATACTCTTCTCCTCCAAAGAGCTGCTCTGCAGCCACAGCTGGGCTTGGGTCCTCCAAACCCCCAACAGGGACACTGAGGCTGAGTCAGCTGTCAGGCCAACAGGGCTCCACTCACAGCTGGCCCTCTGGGAACATGGCCTCTCCCCAAGGATGCAGCTGCACCCCAGAAGGAGTGCCTGCCTGCCCCCCAGAAGAGAGGTTAAGCCCAGGTGTGGCTCCTGGCCAAGCCCTGCTCCCCATGCTCACCCTGATTGATGAGCCAATCGGAGAGAAACCCGCTGAACATGCTGGCGGGAATGGCCACCAGCCAGGGCACCACGTTGAAGACCCAGCCCTGCAGGGAGGTGGGGAGGGACCTCAGAGGCAGCCAGGGCAGGGGCGCAGGGCCAGCACCGCTCAGGAAGGCTTTCCCCGCCCACACCTGGGCCTCCTGTGGGGCCCTCCCCAAGACTAACCCACCCCCCCACCCTGGCCAGTGCTGGGCCCACTAGCAGGTGCCCCCCTGCAGGCTGCCGAGTCCCCCTCACGGCTCCGCCAAATGCGACAGCCGAGCTGGAGGTTTGCAACCCCCACCCCAGGAGCCTGTGAGGCAGCAGGGTCCTGGTCACCAAAAGCAGGAGGGTGGCCAGATGGCCGGGGGGGGCACACCAGCTGACTGGCAGGTGACTTCCGGTCCACATCACAGCCCCTGCTTGGCCCCTCCTGAGGAATGACAACCCGCAGACTGGTCTGCCAGGCCCTAGGGTGGGGGCCCTGCCGGGGTGGGAGGCCAGCGGCCGTGGGGAGCATGCGGCTGTGCCTTGGCAACGTGCCCCAAACCAGAGGCGAGGCCACCTCGGAGCCACAAGCCTGCACGGTCAGGACTGCCAGAGGCCGGGCAGAGCCAGGGGCCCATCCGTGCACTGGGTGCTGCCTCTGTGAGGCTCCCCAGCGCCCCCACTGCCGCCCAGCCCCGCATGGCTCCCTGGCCCACATGAGCTGCCAGGCCCACCTACCTTGGAGCTGGGGAAAGTCTCCTTAAAGAAGGTGGGCAGCCAAGACAGGAGGATGAAGAAGGAGCAGGCTGAGGACAGCTGGGAGGCTATGGCTGCCCTGCGGGCCGTGGCTGGGCTCAGTATCCTGCACCTGGGCCCCTGCCCAGACTCCAGGGTGGGGGGCACAGGCTAAAGAGGAGAGGCCCCCGGGAACCTGGGCTTGGGGGCGTGGGACTCGGGAGCCCAGAGCTGACAGCCCGCAGGCAGTGAGAAGCCCAGGCTGCACCCACCCTGTAGGCAGCCGGTGCCAGGGACGCTTGAGGTCCAAGGGCCCTGATCCCCACCCCACCGCCCACCCCACCCTGCCACCCCAAGGCAGCCTGGCTCACCAGACAGAAGCCTTCTGGAAAAGCTGTCTCCAGGGAACTTTGGTGTGTCTGGACACCGGCAGGCCTTGCACCAAAACGCCCAAGGCCAGGATGAGATCTGAGGGGGGCAAAGTGGGACCCTGTGAGCACCACTCAGAGCCAGACCAGACGGCGCCCGCTGGCAACAGACCAGCATGCCCCCTGCCCCAGCGGGACTCTCAGGGTTGGACTTGGTTGCGGCCAGGCCTGGGAACTCAGGGTGGGTGCTTCTTTCTGAGGCTCTGGTCTAGAGGGTTCTTTCCCACACGGGCAAAGCCGCAGCCCTGGGGTCCCGCTGAGCCGGCGCTGCTCTGCAGACATTCAGCGGCTGCAGGAGGGTAAGAGGCACCAGGCCCCTGCTGCTCCCCAGGCAGCTGCATTCGCGGCCCTGGCCCGTCTGGCCACGGTTACCTTTTTCACTCAGCAGGTACCTGTACACGTAACATGCCCACAGCAGGGTGAGCCCGCCAGAGAAGTAGAAGACACTTGGCCAGCCATACCAGTCCAGGAGCAGGGAGCCCGCGGCCCCTGTCAACAGTGTCCTGGAAGGACAGACAGCAGCGCGGTCATGACCCTCGGCTTCAGTGGGGCCGGGAGCCGCCTCCAAGAACCCCGTCCAAGAACCCTGCGCGACTGGCCAGCTGCAGAGCAGCCTAGAACCCAGTCTGGGCACAGTTTGTTAAGGCTGCAAGCTTTCAGGAGAGACATCCAGACGCCATGGGGCCAGGTGGACAGGGGCACAACCCTGCAACTGCACATGGCACAGGAGCCCTGCGTGGCTTTCACTCCTTGCTCTAGGCTTTCATGCTGCCTGCGGCTGTGGTGTGAAGCCTTTAAAACTCAAAAAGGCACAAGAAGAAAATGGTGATGGGAACGCGCTGGAATGAAACGCAGGTGGCTCTTAGCTTCACATGTCAAAGAGCGTGAAACTTCAAAAAGATTTCGCATGTGAAACAACAGCGGCCCAACCCAGCACCTCGCACACACCGTGCCATCCCGGAAGCCCAGGGGCCGCTCCCCACACCTGGCTGGTCAGCGCCTGCTCCCCTGCTGCCCTCCCGTCTGCTGAGGATGGGCCAGGACACGGATAAAGGAGGACAAAGAGGGGAAAGAGCTGGGCAGCAGGCCTGCGGGGGCTTGCCTTCCTCACCAAGCCTCCGTCTGCCCACCTGTGGGGTGGACGCAGCTCTCCCCTGTGCCCCCTGCCTCACGTGTGCACCCAGGACACCCAGGTGAATGGGACTTCACACAAACCCCGGATCTGTCTTTGTGTATGTCCCATACTGCTTATCCGAATTTACACTTCCTGGCACACCGGGCTTTCATCTGGCCGCTCCCGGCCCACCCCAGGGACCCCCACCCTCTGAATTCTTGCCTAGGCTCAGCAGCAGTGAAGTGGGGGTCCTGAGCCTGGGGGTCGTGAAGCCCCATTAGGACACTGATGCTCTCCTCCGTCCCCAGTGAGGCCCACCCTGAGGGCCTGGTGCTCCAGGGCATGGTGTTGGGAGTGGGGCACTGGGTTTCTGTGTCTGGACCAGACTCCCTCCAGGCCAAGCCCAGGCTGCCTCTCTGTCGGGCAGGTGCCCACCCTGCTCCAGACGTGAAAGGGAGCAAGGGAGTGGCCTGCACCCGCCCCGGTGGCAGGGCCTCGTGTGCACCAGCACCTCTGCGCACCTGCATCCCCTGAGCCACAGATGCCCATGTGGCCTCTCCCCACCCAGGCCCACAGGGGCACACCGTCTGCCTCCCCAGCCCCCCTGCCAGGACTTACCCAAACTGGGAGCCGGCCCCCACGGTGCTGTAGACAAAGGCTCGCTCGCTCGTCCGCACCTTCTGTGACAGCAGGCTGGTCAGAGCAGGGAAGTAAACCCCTGCAGCAGGCAGAGAAAGCAGAGGCTGCCAGCTGGTCCCAGCTGCCAGGCCATGTGGGGCCAGAGAGGGCGGTGGGGACAACAGCAGCAGGGAAGACCCCTGACCAGAGATGACTGCTGAAGCTTGGGGTGTCCTTCTTGCCCACCTGACCACCAAGGGACCAGCGGGGCTGTTGGCCCTTCTTGGCTGACACAGTGGGGGGAGAGACGTCAAGCTCCTGCAGACAGGATGGCTGTGGGAAGGGCTTCTGGGTCCACGCTGGCCGTGGTCCACCACCCCTACCCAGCAGCTCCAGAGGCCTGGCACCGGCAGGCACGTGCATGCTCACACACATAGACTGCTCACACTAGCACATTCACGCACATACTCACACACACAGACTGCTCACTCTAGCACACACACTTCAGACACAGTGTGTGTACAATCAGTGAGGCTGGGTCTGGGTGTGATGCTGCCCTTTAGCTGGTGGGATGTCACCGTGGGGAGCAGCTGGGACCTCCCTGTATGGTTCTTGCAACTTCCTCTGAGGCTATAATCATTTCAAAATCCAGGTTTGAGAAACCTGCCCTGAGGACTGCCATGCTTGCCTGTCACCCTGCATTTCCCCAAAGTACCCAGGGGAAGCTGAGGGGCTGGGGACTGAACAGGACTTGGTCCCTGCCTTCCCATCAGGGTCCAGAGCCCCTGCCCACAACAAGTGCCAATCACCCAGGCTGACAGCTGCCCCGAGCCCCTGCCTGTCCCCACAGTGGGCCACATGAAGTCCTTTGCTTCCCGAAACAGCCAGAGCCGAGGGCCACCCGGCTGGGCACTGAGGGCGCCGGCCTTTTGCCCAGGAAGCCCCGTGAGGCATCTGTCAGCCCAGCCCTGGGACCCTCATCTGTGGGATGGGGCACCTGTGGTGAATCTGTAGGATTGCAGGAGTCAGGCCACCAGGACCGCTGACCAGTGGAGCTGGTCAAGAATTGACAGGGGCCAATTCTAGGAGATCTGGGGGCCTGGGGAGGCCCCGGGTTCTGGAGGTGGTACCGGAGATCCCTTCCAGAGAAGCTGGGGGTATGTGCTGAGGAAGGGGCCCAGACCCACCCACTTGGGATCACGTCCAGGTGAGAGACGCTGAGAGACACCACACTGGCGGTACGGGAGCTCCAGGCTGGCTGTGCACCACAGGCATCTGTGGGGGGCTCTCTCAAGAAGTCTAATGCCCCCAAAGCATGGGAGCCAGAGATCATGGGAATCTAGTGTCCCCTCGGCCTAGTGCCAGTGAAGGGTGTCGCCTCTGTCCAGCAACATGCGGAAACGTCAGGACCCCACCATGTGGCCCAGTGGCACTGACTGTTATCACGTGGCCAGCCGGCTGCCTCCCAGGTCCCTGGGGCAGCTTTTAACAGAACAGGACTCTGACGTTTAGGACGTGCCAGACTTTAAAATGTTTCTTGAAAGCAGGAAGCGCCCCGGGCGCCAAGGCATCAGCACAAACAGGCTGGCACAGAGGAGCGCGGCGATCAGCAGCTGCCAACGGGCCGTCCCCACACAGCCCTGCCGGGAGCCCAGCTGCCCGGGACGCCAGCCGCTACCCACCGGCGGCAGGGCCGGAGCAGATCAGCAACAGCATGGAGGGGTCGACATGTGTGCCCCGACTTAAGGCAGTTAGGGCACGCCACATGCAGAAGCACACAGACCCGTCTGCACACATACACACAGGGACACAGCCACAGATAGACGTGCACACACGGGAACACCCATGCGTTCACAAGCCCCCTGCCCCACCACTCCCGGGGCCACAGAGTCACATGCTGGCTGAGTGAGGGAGGCTGCCCGAGGCCCTACCTTGGAGCAAGCCCGTGAGGACGCGAGAGGAGGTCATGACCACCAGGTGGGCACTGCCAAGGCGGGCGAGCAGAGGGGTGGCGGCAGTGATAAGACCCCAGGCGGAGGCTGACAGCAGGATGACCTTCTCGCCCCCAATCCTGGAGGGGAATGGAGGACGGTGATGGGGGCTCCTGCACCTGGCTGCTGGGCTGGCCGGGAGGCCCTGCCACAGAAGGATGGGTGGGGGCCGGCACCGTGCCTCACTCAGAGCAGCCCTCTGGAGAGGAGGCCCAAGGTGGGAGAGCACGGAGTCCAGCCGTCCATCTGTCCTCAGAGGCCCCCAGAGCTACCTTGGTTGGATGCCAACCCTGGTCACCTCCTGTGGGGACCTCGCTCTCCAGCCCACGTGCTCTTGGCCAGGTGCCCTGCCCACGTTCATTCCCAGCAACCCCCTCCCGGCACAGCTGCCCGGCCCACCCCCCACCGAGAGCAGCCTGGGCCCTGTCTGGGGATGGGGTGGTTACCGGTCCCCCAGGTGTCCGCCCACAACCTGAGTCAGGCAGTAGCCCCAGAAGAAGCTGCTGAGCACGATGCCGGCCTCCTTCTTGTTCCAGCCAAAGTCCTGGCTCATGGAGGCGGTGCAGACGGGCATGCTGGCACGCGCGCAGTACAGCAGACCTGTGCCCAGCAGCAGCGTCCCCGTCCACGCCTGGCACTCGGGCCTGCAGGGAGGGGGGTGGGTCAAGCCTGGGAGGGGGTGGCATCCTCCATTTGCCTTGGAAGGAGGCAGCTAAGCCTCCTCTCCAAGGTCTAACTGCAGCCTGTCGACTGCCAGGGGGTCACAGGCAGATACCAGAAACACACAATGCCACTCACAACAGCAGAGGCTGGGATGGCCCGGACGGCTGGCCGCAGGGCAGGTTAAATAAACCCCGGGAGGTGGGAAGCTGCTCTCGGGACTGTGGCCAGAGCACAAGCATTTGGCTTCCCTGGGAACAAAGGGTCCAGGGAGGCAGCCAGACAGGCGCTGACACCTTGTAGCCCTCTGAGAGGGCAGCAGGCTGGGCAAGAGGACCGCAGCTGAGGCAGAGAGGGAGGGTCGCACAGCCAGAGCAGCACCACCCCCCGCGGTGGGAGCATGGCAGTGGCCCTGGCAGCGGGCCCAGGAAAGCTGGGTGTGCCCAGTAGATGATGCTGGGCCGATGGTGCTGGATGGCAGGCAGAACCGAGGGAACACAGTGCTGTGGGGGCAGTGGTCCCACGGAGGAATGCAGGCGGGGGTGCGGCAGCCCTGGCTCCTGGGAAGGTCACCAGGCGGATGCCAGCACACCTCGAGGGGTGGTCACCAAATTCAGAAGTCAGAAACTGCCACAGCCAGAAGGCGCCCAGGGGACTCGAGGGCTCTGTGCAAGTGGGGTCCTGCATGGAGTCCTGGGCATTGGGGATGCCAAGGGCTGACCTGAGAGCCGTGCTGATATGGTTCATGGATAAACAAATGCATGATGTTAAGGTAAGGGGCGGGCTGCAGAGATGGGCACCAGGAGCTCCAGGCTGCCCTCGCAGTGGGTCTGTGACCCCGATTGCTCCACAAGGCAAAGTTTATTATTAAAATATGAAAGAGGGATTGGGGGCTCCAGCACCGTTCATGTGGTTGGAGGTCCGCAGGGTGGAGGTCCCTGGGGATGGCGGGGTGCAGCATGGCCTGCGGGAGGGGTAACGGTGGCTTCACAGTGTGGGCGGGGCCTCCCGGGAGTAGGGGCGTGGGCAGGGGAGTGGAAGTGCCTGGAAGCGGGGCTTAGGGGCCCCGCCTGCCCTTAGAGCAGCTCCCAGCCGGTGTGCTCCCTGGGCGTGTGAGCGTGCAGGGAGGAGGCGCAGGCTTGCAAAGGCTCCAAATCTGGGGGCTCCAACCTGGCCAGGCTGGCTGAGGCGTTAGCACTGCAAAGCCCGGGGGCGGCCGCTGGGAAGAGCAGGTCAAGGGTGAAAGGCCAGACGGAGCCCAGGTGGGTATCAAAGTCACCCAGGAAAATGGGAGGACCCAGAGACAGGACGGGGGTAGTTTCTAGGAGGATGAGGCCGGTAGGACCCTCAGAGCAGTTTCCAGATCAGAGAGGGAAGAATGACAGAGGCCGGACCTCGGAGTCGCACCCTGCTCTCCAAGCCCCAGTCTGGACCTCTGTCTGGACCTGGTGGGGGGCTGCCCAGGCTGCTGTCAGGGCCGGGCGGGGGTGCTGCCGGAGGATGTGCGGAGGCTCAGGGCAGTGCATCTTGTTTTGAGGGGCGGGGGGCGCAGTCCAGGGAGAGCCCAGGACAGCTTCTGGGAGGGCTGAAGCCCGTCTGGATGCCTCCAGAGGATAAGAGAGCGCCAAGGCCCTGAGGGCAGCTTCATGACTGAAGGCATTGCCAGCAGGCTGGGAGCCAGCGGGCAGCACACCTGCCTGGAGCCTGATAAATGGGCGTGGCAGGATGTGTGCTTTCTCAAGGGCAGGCCCCAACCTGGGGCGGTGCTGTCTGGATGGAGAAGCGCCAGCCGCCAGCCGGCAGCAGTTGGGGCTGCCCTCACCACCCAGCGCTCTCCTCCCAGGATGGACCCTAGCCACTGCGGCTAGAAAACTGCTGGGCGAGAAGGGGCGGCTGGCCCAGGGACTTTGCAGGGGAGCACAGTTTCGTACCCGCCACTCCTGGCCTACTGTCACACCAGGCAACTACAGAGGTTGCGGCGAGTTCATGCCTGCCTGTGGGACACGAGGGACAAGTCGCCTGGCCTACTGGAGCCTCACTTTCTGCTATGAAGAGGGGCTCCTGCCCTTGACACCTGCCTCCTTCATGGGTCAGCAAACAGCAGAGTGACTTGCAAGTTCCTGGTGTCCCAACAAGGAGCCCTTGTGGCTGGGTTGGAGGAAGGCACGGCAACAGCGTCGGCCTCCCCTGGCCGGCATCTCCGCATGCACCCTCCCCCTTGGCAAACCACAGTGTACTTTTCCACCCTCCTCTGTCTCAGGCCTGCCAAGGAATCTCACTGTGGGTACGGGGCCACACCTCCCTGGTTGCAGCCCCCAAAGAGGCTGCAGGGTCCTGGAAGCCCACCAGTTAGAGACAGGTGACTCAAGGTTCAAGGCCATCACTCGTGGGTATGGGGTAAATAAGTCTAAGTTCCAAACAGCCCAGACTATGGTTCCCAAACAGATCTACCTTTGAAGTTTGGGAATCCCAGTTTCCAAGTGCTAGCTAGCTCCTGATGAAGTGCGTGGCCTTGGGCACTGAGGGCCTTGGCCTGGAGGAAGCTTGCTCCCTGTGTGCACAGTGGGGGGGGGCTGCCCTGGACCATGGGTTTCAGGCAGGGTCTCTGGGTGCTCAGAGGGGTGCCATGGGTGGGGTTCCGGTCACCCCTCTGCTGCTTTCTGCTGTATTGCTGGGACTTCCTATGCCTGGTGACTGCTGGGGAGGGACCCTGTGACCTTGCCCACCCCACTTCGTGGTCCTTAAAACGTGACAGGCATCACTTAGAAGCCAAGACAGGAGTCCCCGCACAGTCGGGGGAAGACAGGCCTCCATGGAGGGGTAGAACCCCAGAGGGCGGCTCACCCATGCCCCCTCTGGGCCTGGGGGCCCCAAGTGCCAGTTTCCACCACAGGGCCAAAGACTGTGAGGCGTGGGGCAGGCCTCTTCAAGGTTGACAAGCCCCCAGGGTGTGTGCTCAGTGCGCATGGACTCCGCGACAAGGAACCCCAGGGTTGAGGCTGCTGCTCAAGCACCTGTCTCCTCCAGGGCGCCAACCTCTCACCCGTGGGACATGGCCTAGCTTGCCTACGAGAACCACGCACCAGGCCACCCCTACCCCCAGTTTCTATCCCATGGCTGTAGCCCACTGGGGACGTTGCCCTCTGAGCAAACACTCCCACTGGGCTTACAGGGAAGAGCAGGGCCATGGTCCAGCCCAGCAGAGTGCCTCGTGGGCATGCCTGCCCCACTCTGCCCTGAGCGCCCCACGGCCCACAGTGTCCTGCACCCCTGCACGTGAGCCCTCTGCAAGCACATGTGTGCAGTTTTGTTCCCACTCCTGAGTGCACAAGGGGGGCAGCAGGGGCGTGGACGAAAGGCTTTTACCTTCCCACGAACAGCCACACTCAAGAGGTGATTTCTAAGGGGGCTTTATTCCTTTATGTGGGCAAAGCAGAGAAGGGTCAGCTGCGTCCAGACAGGACCTCACTTCCAGCACACCTGCCCCTCCCGCAGGCACACCTCTCCTGCCACCAGGGGGCCTGGCTCCTTTGCTTTCTGGGAGGGAAGCCCAGTTGGAGGGTGGAAGACAGGTCGGGCACTGAGAACACCACGGTGCCCCCTGGCCTCCTTACAGCCACTAGAGGTCAAGAAAAGCCCATCAGTTTCCAGGTAAACCATCTGTTCTGGGCATGAGGTGCCGGCATGGGTGCTCCCCGGGAGCTGCAGGGGGCATGGTCTGCTTCGTCCACAGGCCCTGGGGGCCCCAGCAGCCTCATCCTGAGCTGGAGGGCAGTGCCCACTAGGTGGGCAAAGGGGCATCCTCCACAGCTGCTGGGGACACAGAACAAGGAAGTCTGGCTGGAGGGGCGTCCCAGACGTGGCCAGCTGCCTGGAGCTGAGTAGGACACCAGACCCAGAATCCTCAGCCCTTTAGGAGGGCCAGTTAGGGACACTGAGGCTATGGCATGAAAGGCTGGGAAAGCAACATCCTGCCCACAGCGACGGACCCTGAGCCTCAGGTACATGTCCCCAGAGCATCAGAACACTGGCTAGAACCTTCTAGAGAGCCTTCTGCTTCCTGCCAACAGCCCCTGTGCATGAAAAGCATCCACGGTTGAGCAAGCACATGGTCACGCGGCCCCTCCACTCACAAAAGGGAAACGTGCCAGTGCCTCAAGCCAGGAGGGCAACACACAGGAGAGGACATGAGGGCCCAGGCCTGGGGCCACCCCCATGGTGCCTGGGATGTGTGAGGGCTGGTCCTCCCTCCTGGGCCACTGGCAGCAGGCACATGGCCATCCATCAGAGCCAGCCAGAGCCATTGAAACACAACCAAACAGGGAAGTTTGCAGAACATTCTCAGCCCTGGGCCACACACAGCCTTCTGCCCAGCTGGCCGTGAAGCCTGGCCTGCCACCTGGGTAAGGCTCAGAGCCAGGCTTCGGTTCAGTAACCGGAGGGGTGGGGAGGAAGTGAGAGAGAGGCAAGCCCCAGGGCACTCCCAGATCCGGGCACCCCCAGCGTGTAGCCCTGCTGCTCTAATGGGCACCAGGCAGGCAGACTGGGCCAGTGTCAAGGTCTGGGCTTTGGGGCAGCCCTTCTCTGCCTGCCCCCCGGGTCCGGCCCCTTAAGAGCCTGCTGGCCTCTGAGGGCCCCTCTATACTATCTCTCCCCACCTTCCGTCCTGCTTTGCTGCATCCTGGCCCCAGCATTGAGGGGCTGTCCTTAGGGCCTTCCTGAAACCTTGTGTTGGAGGCAGCTGCAAGCAAGTGCTACCACTGTGCAGGCTGCAGGGCAGGCCCTGGAAAGCAAGCTCCCCAGAGATTCGGAGCCCAGGTGGACTGCCCTGGAACTGAGGGGGTCCTGGGGCCCAGGGCCCAGCCGCTTTGCTGAGGGGCCGCGGCCCACAGAACCGGTGAGGGTGGCCTGGGGGCTCCGGGATGTTCCTCCTTGCTGTGTGACACACTCACGAGGGGCCCCCTGCATGTGACAGTGGACAGCAGGAACAGTGCGGACAGGTGGGAGGAGTTCCTGGGCCCTCTGCCCCCACCGCCGACCCCCCTGGGGACCTTGCCCCATCACACGGCAGGCATGTGGTGGCAGCCATCTGCCTGAAGGCTCCAGCCTGTGCCCCCCTCCTGGCCCCCGTCAGGTAACCCTGCACGGCTCATGGCCCACAGGGTGCATGGTCGCCCAAGCGGCTGCGACTATGACTACAAACGTGTGTGGTCTTCCAGGCAGGGTCAGGTCGGTTCCAGGGGCTGGGCTGTGATGAGAACCCTTCCTCGCCATGCAGGACCTCGCCCCCGCCCCAGGCAGGCCTCCCAGAACCCCCACTGGCCTGGAGAGGGCTCGGCGGGGAGGGGTCGGGGGGGGCCCACCCACCCTGGCCCCGGGACTGGGTGGAAGGGAGCGGGGTCCCCGCCAGGCTCCTTCCTCCCTGCGGATGGGGACTGCCCAGGCGGGAGCGCCCCCAGCCCCCAGGCCGTCTGAGTCTCCGTGCCGGACGCCCCCTTCCCCAGCGGCTGCCACGCTGCACGCCCGCCCCACCTGGACCACTGGGCGTCCTGGGCCGCATCCCGGCGACCCTCGTTCGTGGGCTGCTGCATCGGGCGCAGACGGCCGCGGGCGCAGTGTCAGGACCCCGGCTCCAAGCGGGCCGACCCACGCGGGCAGCACCGCCCGAGTCCACGTGTCAGTCCCAGCAGCGCTTCCGTCTGGCGCTCCCAGGACGCGTCGCCCCCAGACGGCCACCGCAGCGGGCGGGGCACGACGCCTGGTCCCCGCCCCGCGGACGTCCGTCAGGGGGGCCGGGTCTCCCGCGCTCCAGACCCGGGCTCCGGGGAAGGCGAGGGGCTTCCCTGCGCGGGGGAGCAGGCTGGGTGGAGCCCTGGAGGCCTCGAACAGCTGCTGAGCCGGGGGGCCTGCAAGCTGCCCGAAAACCTGGGGATCAGGGTCGTCCCCACTTCACAGGGCTGTAAGTCCGGGGAGAGGAAATCCCGGGGCAAAATACCTCTAAAAACCGAAATCAGGCAAAGGGAGAATAAAGTTTAAAATCCGTTTACTGCTCACAAACTGCAGTCCCAGGCCGTCCCTCTCCTACCCAGGCAGCAGCGAAACCGGCCCTGCCCTCGCCTCTCAGGTTCTGGTAAGCCCTCCTGGCCCAGGTAATTGCCCATTGATATGGAGATGGACTTCTCTCCACCCCTGAGGACGATGCAAATGCACTAAAGCCACACTTCTTTTCACCTCTGATCGCCTATTGATATGCAGATGTACTAAAGCCCGGAGAAATATTCTGGAAATACTACAATTTTACCCACCACGTTATCAAGTGAAAGTTAGGGACAGTGCAGGGACGGTAAGACTCAAGGCTAACCAATTTTTAAAATAGGCCTTGGTGGTGGGCTTCAGCTCTGCGACCAGGGGCTCAGTGCCATCAGGGCCCCCGGAGCAGGTGCTCGCTGGAGAAGCCAGGCTCCTCACGTGCTCTGAGCGTGGACCGCGGGTCAGGTCAGCGCTGGACCCTCACTCCCCGGGGCTCCATGTGTAGACTTGGGAAGCCGGCTGCTGCAGGTCTCACGCCCAGGGGAGAACATGGCCAGCACGGAAAGGCATGGGCTGGGGTACGGTGGCAAGCACTGGGTTTCTGGCTGCACTCGGCCTCTCCCCGCTGCCGCCGCCTCATACACCCTCGCTGGGCTGCATCGCACCACGGGGGACCTCTGGAAGCCTGATTTCCCTACAGCAGGGGCCCTGCGTCTCTACCCCCAACCTTCTCTCTGTGCGGAGAACAAACAAGCCCACCTCAGGGCCTTTACAGTTTCCGCCCAGGGTTTTGCCGGCCTAGCTCCGCACACACTTGCTGAACGAATTGCTATTCTTCTGCCCAACCTGATGTTCAATGGGGGGGTGGGTGGGGGGAGGGGTTTATTTCCCAAGGAGCCCTAGTCCTCAGTCAAGAACGGTTGGGAACCGAGTCACTGCTACCTGCACCACCAGCCGCCCGCTCTGCAGTTCACGCTCACCCACTGCTGAGGCTCTGACAATAATTTTATGTGACTAACAGAATCACACTGTAGTGGCCATTTGTCCTTTGACTACCCAAGTGCCTTTCCCCCTGGAGCTGATGTTCAGGGTGGTAGCAAAGCACAAAGAAGGGGCGGAGGGGGGGACATTTCTGTAAAGAGGCGGGCTGGGAAGTGTCCCTGAGAAGGCATGAGAAGGAAGCCAGTGAAGGAGCCAGCGGTGCAGCCTGGGCAGGAGTGGGCCAGCAGCTCAGGGGCACAGCCTGAACGCACAGTCAAGGACTGACGGGGGGCGGGGTACAGGCCCCAGAGGCTTTGGAGGCCTGGGGGAGACCGGGCAGGGCTCTGAGGCTGGGAGCCGCCAGTTGCCACAGGAGCCCCTGGCTGCACCGCGGACAGCTGGGGGCAGCCAGCACAGAGGCAGAGAGGACCAGGTCAGTATGTTACTCCAGGCCTGAGGCGGGGGCACTCGGCCAGGGGGACACAGGGGGGCCAAGAGGTGCTGAATGCACAGGTTGTGAGAAGGGCCGACAGGCACAGGTGTGGTGTGACTTGAGAGGGCTCAAGGCTGAGATCGGACAACCTCCTGAGGTCCTGAGCTCAGCAGGCCCCCTCAAAGGCAGAAGGCCCGGTTACCAGCCAGGCCTGCTAGACAAAATGTTACATTTTGAAGGCAGGCTACAAACACTTGGTGCTGGCAGTCGCCAGGGTGGACATATGCTCCCCAGACTTCTAGTCGATTCCATGAGCTACCCATACCCAACTAACACACTGTCCTTGAGGAACAAGGTGGAAAATGACTGGGGGGCAGTGTAGAGAATGACAGTAGACGGTTTAACAGCTGGTTCTCAAGAGATGGAGAGCTGCTGGTGGTGACAGTGGTGTCACAGCCATGCTCACTGGTGACAGGATGTTGGTACCACCTTCTCATTTGCAGCCTGCCTGCCTGCCTGCCTGACATCACTTTACCCCCAGCACAGAGGTTTCCAAAGGTAATTCACGCCTTGCTGCTTACGTTGTAGCCTCTCCTTGCTCAGCCTCCAGAGCCACCCCTACTGCAGCCGAGCCCAAAGCCTAGGCCCAGCCAGCACACCTGGCTGCTTTTGCGAAGTGCAGACCCACCAGACCCAGGCCTGGTGTCCCCCTAGTCACTGTCTCCTCTGCTCCATGTGCAGCCCCAAAAATCCAATTACCTCCCCTTGAAGACGAGGAGCCCAGAAGTGACACACACGGGTTTCACGTCCATCTGCTGTCACTGGCGATCTCAGCCCTGCACACGATGTGCGCGAACAGCGGGAGGTGTCCACCTTTCGGCCTGAGCTCCTACGTTCAATGGGAGAAGAGAAGCACTGTACACGATTTTTCTGGAAACCAGAAAGACAAACCTGATGACGACAAATGGATTCTTTTTCTGGAAGGCTGCTGGTCGTGTGGGTGTGCGGCCCTCTGGTGGGCCCCCCGCATTAGGATTCAGCACAACCAGTTCCACATGTGGGACTGACTCTTTGTTCTGGAACAGTCCCTCCTCGTCAAAGTGTTTGTGACTCTTACAACACTTCTGTGCCACACTAAGGACACAACCGGAATGCTGAGGCCAAAGACTGCCCAGGCAGGCTGGCACCCGCCCCTCACCTGGATCAGCGTGCAACAGCCCTCTGTACTGCCCACTGGCTGCCCACCACCTCCCTCCCAGACCCTCACTGGGTTCAGCTTACTTTACTTCCAGAAGATGCTGGGAACATCATGTGACTGTAAGACACCACAGAGGGGGGGCAGGCAACCCTGCTGTGAGCAGAGTCCCTAGAGTCCAGGCCCCACCAAAGGCAGCCACTCAGCTCCGGATTACAGTGCCCACTCCACCCAACACGGTGCTTCTGAATCAAGTCCGCGGGCACGTGGCACAGTGGGCAGGGGCATCCTCCCGGGCTCCTAGTGCCATCGGGCCTCCTAAAGCGGGGGCCCACCAGAGGGCTGTACGCCCACATGACCGGCAGCCTTCCAGGAAAGTGCAGAGCACAAAGGCCCTCGTCTTCAGGACTACTCCTCGGGCTGACCCTCTGTGAGAGCTGGGTACACAGGAGTTTGGTGGACTTTGTCCTGTGGGGCAGCCATACTGGACCCTGACCTGGCCTTCCAGCTGGCAGACCTGCGAACACTGCTGGTGAGTCTCGGCCCCACCTGCTATTTAATCTCCCCACCCCTCCCATCCCCCAACACACACCCTGCAGAGGCAGGGCTATTACAGCCAGTCTTTCAGACTGCCTCCTCCCCACACCAAGGGCCTCAGTGCCAGGCTGAGCCTGAGCTGCGGCCGGGCCAGGGCCTGGGGAACCTGCAAAGGCCAACAGCACGGGACGCTCCACTCACAGACAAGTCCTCGTGGCCAGTCACGCCCAAGGTCCCTTTGACCCATGTTCTCCGTCTGTGTGAGTCAGATCACAGCGAGGAAGACAGCACTGCCTCGACTGCAACTGCGAATTAAGGCCCGACACCCAAGCAGGCAGGTCCCACATGCCAGGACCGTGGCCCCTGCCAAATAGCTTGCCCATCGGGAGCGCAACCGCAGTATTCCAAGGAGCCGTGCCCCACTGCTCCACTTGGGTGCCTCACCAGGACCCAGTGGGCCACCCACTCGTCAAGGAGGGCAGTGGGGGTGTGAGGCCGGCATGAGGTGTCACTGCACAAGACATCACTGCAAGTGGCAGCAGTGGCGGGAGTGGCTTCCTCCTGTTTTCTGCCCCCGACAGCCCTGCAAATTCCTGGAATCTGCACTCGCCCACGTCACCATGCCAGCACCTGTAGTCCTCACTTCTGCACTTCACTGGAAGGCACCAGGACACTGTCGCTCTGTCCTACGGCCTCCTGTCACACATGAAGCAGCAATGGCCCTGGAGCACAGGAGCCACCAAGACAAGAGCTCCAGGCTCGCCATGCAGGCTGCTTCTGTGGGTGTTTGGAAGTAGTTACGCATGAAAGAAACTCCCTGGGACATTCTGACCCACCTCAAAACCAGGCTGGGGCAGCCCAGACAGTTGTATTTCCTTCACAAAAATGAAAAGAAAGTGCCACACTCTAGAGGACAGGACAGATGTCACCCTAAACACACCTGCACACAGATGCACATGAACGTTGGGACAGAACAGACACAAAGCCTAAGGCACACGGAACGACTGCCTCTCCCCACCCTTCCCGTTCTAACTGACCAACTTCTGATAGAAGGGTCGGCATTTAATTATTAGAATATCCTTATGCAAGAAAAGAGAGCTTTTGAATGACCACCCTGAGACATGTGGGAACTTCTGCTATGAAACTAGAACAGGCAGCACAAGTGACCTATTCCGCATTTTTCATGGGCCGCTGGGGCCGCACTTTGGCCCCTAGGGAACGACGGGGCTGCAGACTCCAAGGTGTGCAGGCTCCGCAGCAGCTGTGGGTTCACATGGGAGGCAGCAGACCCACGCTGACTGGGCGACTTCCTCGGGATTTGGAAAAGCACGTCATTGCTCTGAAACAAAAAAGTACTTGCAAAGAATGACTCAAGAACGTCAGATAAAAGGTGTCAAACGCTGCAGGTCACCCGGGCTGGTGAGGACACAGCCTCACCCCAACGGTGCTGCTCAGACCCCGGGAACAGCCCAGGAGAGCCCTGCTCTGTCGCCCCCAGCATATCAGTCTTCAGTGTGAAATGCGCCCAGTTCTAAAACCCCTGGTCCTGCCCCCGCCCCCCCCAGACTAACAGCACAGCAACACGAAGGTAAAGACATTATGAACCACCTCCATCTTCAAGGCTCCGCAAACAGGGTCTTCAGTCAACGGGCCAGGGAAGCTTTCAGCTCAAATACCAGTCCCCAAAATACCTGCCATTTCTAGAACCTGGAAACCTTAATTCAAATGGTAAAATGTAGTAGTTCTCATTTGCTTTGTAATCATCCTATGCTTCAAACATATTCCAAACTAGGTGTTATTGTTCACAGGGCTTCATGATGTCAGGAACATGGACTACCAGAATATTCTCAAATTTTATTTATTTCAAGGCACTTTCCATAAGAAAGCATTAAAAAAAAAGAAATAACTACCTCCAAAACATTACATTTTAATAAATACAACGGTGAGAACCAAATGAAACAAAGTAGAAGCATCAAATTACACTTGGCGTTCATTACGTCAAGATGCCTTAATTTAGTTCATTGCTGAAGAAACACTGCAGAAAGGCAGCAAACAGGAAAAGTTGGGGATTTCCAGTCCACTAAGGGATCCCAGGAAAGCAAGCCTGGTGCGTGACGATGAGCGACAGGAGTCCCGTGTGAGCGCGAGCTCCTGTGGGTCTGCAGCATTGGCTCAGGAGCTGCTCGCCAACTGGACGGCAGGGCAAAAGGCAGTCTGACCTTTCACGCCTGGACAGACCCCCTTCAGGCCCCAGCAGTTTATGGAGAACTGCACACAGGACACACGTGACTACACAGCTCGGTTTGAAGGACGTGTCAGATTCATTATAGATGAGTTATGCAACGCGAATGAAAGGATTAGGAATACACTGAATTATGAGATGCTTTTCAAAACATACAGTTTCATCTCTACCTCTCTCCCAGTATTTCTCTTCCAGCTTTTACTATATTTAGCTGTTAATTACCTGAGAATTTAATCCCTTTTCCTTCCAACTTACTTGTAGTGTTAAACCTCTGAGGAAATGATGATAAGATCAGATCTGAAGATAATTATGGAGACCGTCAGAGCAGAAACACCTCCCTTCTAGGGGTGGGGGACACCCTCATTCTTGCCAAACCAAGGAGGTCAGTGTACAGTGGGAATGCAACACTTTCACCGTTGCCTCTGATTGAATCACACGAACCATCTAGGGCAATAAACCCTGCCCAGAGCGCCTACCCACCAGACGACGACCTCACAAGACTCCAAGTCATAGCACAATGTGAATATTCAGGGGAGACAATTGCTGGCACTAGACAGTTAATGATAAATACTCCAGGTGTGCAGGAATGTGACGAGGGTGGTCCTTGCAATCAAAGGCGGACCCCCGACCCACCCGAATACTCACAAAGCTGCCTCAGCTTGCTTGTCAGGGCAAATACACTCCCCCAAATTCAGCTGCTCCTGGCATTTCTCCCAGTCCTGGAGCTCAGCGAAGGAGAACCAAGTCCCCGCCACTCCGGCAGCACGGACTCCCGCCAGAGCGCACGCAGGAGCCGCAGCAGCAAAAGAGGCTCTGTGGGCACTGTCACCGCACAGGACCCGCCCCAGGGGCAGGAGCCCCGTGGGGACCCACCGAGCTGTCACACCAGCTCCCAGCAGCACCAGGCACAGCATCTGCCACCCTGCTCCCAGGCACTCACATCTTCCCAAGGCCACTGACCACCACCTGTGAGCTCCCCACTGGGCAGGAACACTGGCGAGCGCACAGGGTCAGGACCCACACAGAACGGGCGCCCCCGGAAATGGTGAGCAGATGCGGCCTATGACGCAACTACGTCCAGCCCAGCTGTGCCTGCCCCCAGGCTGCTCCCAAGCACATAACCCACCCCTCCTGCTGCACCTGCTAGATGCCCCATAGCTGCCCTCACCACGGGGAAGTCAGCCCCAAACAAAAGATCTGAGATGATTAAAACTTTTTAGAGGCCATTTTGGTCATTCTTGAAATCATCGAGAAACCTTTATTTTCAACAAAACTGCCTAGAAGAGATGGTTCATCGGTCCACTAGGAAGGTGTCTCACCACATACAGCACCAAAATATATATTTAAAAAATTAAAAAACACACAGCCCACCCATCACACACATACACATCTCCCCAAAGCCACACAACCCAGACCAAAAGGGAAAACAAATCAACTCAATACCCTCACACAAAAGAAATCTTTGAATTAGGATTTACAAATTTATATAGTCTTTTCTATGAAAAAACAAAACCGGGGGCAGGGGTGGTAAGGAAAAGAGCCCACGCTGAGGTTGGCTTCGGAGCTGCCGTGTGGACTGCGTGGCGGCCTCTGTGGAGCCAGCTTCCCGAACCACGAACCACACACGCTAGCCGCCCACTCCTCCGTAGCCCACACCCCGGCACGGCCACACCCTCAGACACAGCGCCTCTCACTGCGCGTTTCCCAGCGCTCCAAAAGGCCATTTTCCCTTTAAAGAGATGCCAGGTCAGAAAAGAGTACGGGGGGCGTCTACTGCAGTAAATTCCTTCAGTCAGGGACGGACACTCCGGCAAGTCCAGTGCCGGTAAGGCACGGGTCCACCACACAGACTACTTGGGCTCCTCGATCACACCTTTGCTGAGGTCTGTCATTTTGGGGTATTTTACTTTCTTCTGGTCCAGCTCATTCTGAGCCCAAAGGAGCAGTTTCAGCAATTTTGCCAGCTTGGGTGTTGACTCACGATTTTCATAGTCCAGGACAGCTTGGTTAACTTCACTCCACACCTGGAAAATAAACACGTCTGACAAAAGCCACCACACCTGCAGAGCACCAGCCCGGAGACTCTACTGTAGTGCGTACTTTATGCTTCTGGGAAGCCACGTCGGCACGAAAATCTTGTGATTTATCTAAATGACCTAAAGCCCGTGACCCTGAAAAGGACGGTAAACTTCTCCTTGCCTAGAAGGAGCTTGAGGTCTGCTCAGCAAATGCCACAAATCTGGCCTGGATGGCAGGTCAAAGGGGCTGGGAAAGAGGAAAACCAGGCAGGGGCTGACACAGTCCCACTGCTACAGCCTTGAGGACACCATGGGGGCCCTGGAGGATGGCACTCCTTCCCGCCCTCGGGGGGCACAAGGAGTCAGGGAGCTGCGTCTGGGGAAGTGGCTGAATGCAGACAGAATGGTGAGGAGAGGAAGAGCTGAACAAGCAGATATGGGATCTTAAGTAAAAAATACTTAGGACACCTACTTCTAATGAGCCCCCAAATGAACAGGAAGAAATTTAAGACAAACGTGAAAACTGGCAAGAAGCTTGACTGGCATGCAGTCATGTCACAACACTGATGTCCCAGCGTCACGCAGGGAAGCACTAAAAACCGAGAGGAACCGCTGTCCCGCCACAGCGCCCACGCCCAGCAGTCTCAGGGCTCCCTCCTGCACCACAAACTCTCCGCACGCAGTTCGCCACATGCCTTTGCAATCCCACCCTGAACATCTACTGAGGGAAAAACAGGAAGACCTTCCCGCCACTGATCTTTACCTTCTGCCTCTGCATCATATTAAGGAGGTCTCCAAAGGGCGACTCCTCGGGGTTGTCGAAGGCCAGGAGGGCCAGGGTGCGCTCCATCTCCGTCAGGCACTCCCGGCTCTCCTCACCCTGCTCTGCCAGCTGGGTCTGGGCGAACTCCAGCGCCGCCTCTGTCTCTCGCTGGCGGATCAGCTCGATCAGGTGTTGTTGCTGGTCGTCAGCAAAAGCAGACAGACTTACACACCACACCCCCAGCAAGCAACACCCAGCAGTATGGCACTTGTTTCTACTCAAAATGACATCTCAAAGGACAATTTTCTAGCATGCACATTTTTTTTTTTTTTGAGAGGGCATCTCTCATATTTATTGATCAAATGGTTGTTAACAACAATAAAATTCTGTATAGGGGACTCAATCTAGCATGCACTTTTAAAGCAAGAAATAGCTTCTGGAACACTTAATACAACAGCTAATTCAAACCCCTTCCCCACATAGAATAAAACAATATTCTACTAATGCAAATTATCCATTACTTCTGAATCACCACACGTAACCTTAAGAAATGGAGTATCCACAAAGTAGATGCCTCCCAACCCAAACTCACTTGCAGGTGGAAGTACAGATACCGGTTTGTGTCCAGGAGCTCTGGGTGGAGGCTGTTGATCAAGGCAATAGCCTCCTGAATCTGGCCCTTCAGAATCATCTCACGGATTTTGATTCGCTCGTCAAGTGTTTCTAGATCCACACTAGGTTCGATCCCAGATTCCATTCGAAACTTCTCTGCTGCTTCCTTAAAGCCCTCTGAAAATGAAAACCATCTTCACTGCTCAGAAAGGCATCGAGACCTTAACACAAAGGCTTCTTATCTCTGGAGAGCACAACTGTCTTGAGTAAACGACCTCTGATCTGAACCACATTTTCTTAGGAGTTGGAATTAATATCTTTGTGATTTACCAGTTATGTCCTTGCAACACGGAAATTGAGAAAGCGTGCTTCACTCTACCCACACCATCCAAACTCTAACCTACCAACAGAGGTGATACCGAATGCTACCAAGCCACCGTGGTGGTGGGCACACCCTGAAGAAGGCTGTGATTCCAGACCCAGACCCAGAGACACTGCAGCTCTGGTCCAGGTGAGACAAGGCACAGCAGACACTCCTCACAGTCTGGAGGGACCTGGCCACTCCACCCTTAGTGAGTCTGTAATTCTCTCCGATATGACAGCAGCATGTGCCTTTCTTTCCACACACAGCTGTGCACACACAGCTATGGGTAGACATTTCCTCATCAGCTTGAAAAAAATCTTAACAGAGACTAATTTGGTGGGGAGGGGGCAGGGCTAGGAACTAATGAGGAAACTTATACCTTTTGAAAGCATCTGGGTTTTCTTATCATGCACAAAATCACCCTTTTCCTTTCTGACATCACGTGTTAGCTACAGACCACTACTGCTTCCTTCTGGATGCTTCTGCCCTCTCCCTTTCCTCTTTCGACTGGGACACACCTTCTACAAACTGCCCAGGATAACTTACCAGACTGGCCACAAGAGATCAACTGGACTTCACATGTACTTCAGAACATTCTTAACTATCTTGATTAACTAAAAATGCCAAAGGCCAAGAAACAGGTTTTTGACTTAGGTCTCAGAGACCTGGAATTATGATCTCATCTCCAGAAACCTTTAACATGACAACTCACAAATTTTTAAGTTAGCAGCATTTTTATAACTTTGCCATGGTACTTTGGTGGTAAGGTTCTGACAGTGTGTGCAAAAGGGGAGGCCCACGTCCTGGTGGCAAGCCACTCATTACCTGTGACCAAGTAGTTCATGATGAGGCGATTCATGTCTGCTCGCTGGACATGTAAGTTATTGAGCTTTTCCATCCACTCATCTTTTGTGATTTCATCGGGTTTTTCTGTATAACTCATTCTGATTTATTCTATAACAAAAAAAATGTTAAGAATTGGTGAGGAATTTGATGACAATTGTGATCATTTCAGAAATAAACATAGCAATGTGGTAAGAAGTAAAAAGGAGAGTGGGAAGATAATTTAAATCTGGAACACAGGAAGTGCAAAGGGCCTGAGACCCAAACACGGGTTTAGGGACTAGAAAGAAGGCTGGGTGTTCAGAAGGTAGGGAGGATAAGTGCAAAAAAGAGTCAAGGGTCTTAGAACTGAGCAGTCACAGATTTGGCTGGGCTCATATGGGTAGGGCCTTACAGTCTGAGGAAGAAGGTGAGACAGGGTGCCCTAAGACCACAGGGCAGCCACAAAAGGTATGAGCTAAAAACGACACGCTATGATGCATGTGCTCAAAAGACGCACACAATTCTGTGTGCAACCTACACCCACCAGACTGACAAAAACGAAAGAGTCTGACAATACCAAGTGTTAGCAAAGACCCAGGGCTGTCCTGGACTCCTTCACATGACTGTCAGAATGCGGCACTACTGTGGAGCTGAGCACATACAGCAACTCCACTCCCACAAGACTGAGAGCCTCAAACACTCATGACCGCACACCAAGCCCAGAAAAGGCTGTTCACAGAAACACTATTCAAAGTGACAACGATATGGAAGCCACCTCCCCAAATGTCCTTCAACAGCAGCACAGACAGTGATGCACAGAACAATCCCAGACCCAAAACCCTCAGGCAGGCATGTTTCACAATTCAGAATTTTACAGATTGTTCAAAGACATATCGCACAGTTTACCATATATTATATGGCATCTTCACTGGGCCGGGGCAGCACCCCATAGGCCAATACGATTTCTTCGGTGCTGTGTATGAGCGGAATAGAGGCTGCTAAAAGCCTTTACCAGGTCAGGTTTTGCCATCAAATAGGTTAAATACAAAAACTTTTGGTTTTCAGAACTATATGAATTTAAAGAATGCTGACAAGGGGCTGCGACCGTGTACTCACACACAAATATTTCATACAGCCGTAAACATGTGAGCACAGCCACAAGGATGACGCCTAGAAGCCATCCGGCTGAATAAAGCAAGCTGCAGCAAGGCCCAAGTGTGGACAGGCAAGTTTGTAAATAAACAAGACAAGCTACGTAATATGTGTGCTTCAGCAATAAATACAGACGTGGTGGCAAATTGTTTTGTTGTCATTGCTGTTTTACGGGAGAGCATAAAATGTGAGCCTCATGTGGATACCATGGGCTGGAGGAGCCAGTCCTGACCCGACCAGTGCACTTGGGAGAAGGGTGTGGGCCCACCACTGTCCACTTCATTTTAGTCTTCATAACTGACATTCATAACTATATATTCTGGATACTGCTCCACACACTTTATAAAATACTTCAAGGATACTACTCTATCAAAGCATTTGCTAAATTTCTTCAATAAATAAATTAAAAGATGGCAAATGTGGGGCAGTGAGAGCTGAGGAGACCCACAAGGAGCCACCCAAACAGGAGAGGTGTGGCAGAGGGCTGGATGGGCACAGCAGACCGAGATTCTGGGGGCTGGAGCCAGTGGCGCTGCTTTGCGACTGCATGTGGAGGAGTGAAAGAATAAGGAGACTGTGGTCCGACTGGAGGCGTCAAGCGTGAGATCTTAAGAGGAGGAGGCCACAACTGAGCAGGAAAGCCCGGGAGACGAACAGGTTTGAGGAGCAGGGCAAGTCTGGGCTGACTACCAGAACTGCAGTTGGCGAAGTCCAGAAGGCACCTGGATTACAGGTCCCGAGCTCAGAGCTGGATATATTAATTAGGGAAACATCTGCCAAAAAAAATGGCCTCAAAAGCCAAGAGTTGGGGAAAGATTGCTGAGAAGGAGTATGGGAACTGAGAGAGCAGCAGAAGGGGGGACCAGCAGAAGAAAACTTGCACGTGAGACAAAAGCAAGAGATGTTGGCCCTCATACAACACCCATCATACCAACTGCACAACCCGCTCACATCAAATTCTTATTCCCAGACAGCTCATGTAACCTAGGACAAATAAGGCAGCCTTCTCTTAGTTCCACTGGGTAACTGGCAATCTTACCAGAACCACTCCTTGGCAACAACTCTGGGGAACTACCCGTTGTGTTTTGGGCAGTTAAATAGCCAACAGACCTAACTAAACAACCCAATTTTGAAGACCAGGAATGCCTGCTTTCCAAGCAGCAATTTACGGCCTCACCAGCTCAGTTTTTTCCCTAAGCGGTTCTATTATTAACTCGTCTCTTCACAGAGACACAGCGCAACACTTCTGGTAACTACCCACTGTTCTAGCTGGTGGCCGCTTCTGAGCGCTGGAGTCTTCGCTTGGAACGTCCCTCCCTTGGAGCATAAACACCCAGGTACACCGCCCAGGCACCGAGGAGGCAGGAGCCTACACGGGCGCCGAGGAGCAGGGCGGTTCGACGTGCACAGATCCACGGGGCGCGGCCTGCGCAAGAACTCGCCCCGATTCTGACACCTGCTCAGACCTTGGGCCCCGTACCCCCAGCGCGGGTCCGGCCAGGCGGGCGCCCCCCACCGCCGTCCCTCCCGGACCCCTCCCCACCTCTCTTCTCCCGGCCCCTCCAGCGCCCGGCCTCCGCCCCGCCCCGCCGCGCTCCCGCGGAGACGCTGGGCCCGGCGGCCCGGGCCCGCCGCGGCCATCTTACTGTGAGGATCCCGCCTCCCGCGCTGCGAGGTCTGCGCAGCCGTTCGGAGGCCGGCCCGGGAGGGGTGGCGAGAAGCCGTGGACGGGGAGGCGGAGGCGGAGGCCGGGGCTGAGACGGAGGCGGGGGCGGGGAACCGGAGGGCAGACGCACCGGCGGCCGCCCCCTCAGCACTTCCCGCGAGATGAGGAGGGCGCGAGTTGGCAGCCAATCAGGTGTTTCCGCGAGGGGGCGGGCACGGCGGCCGTCCGGAAGCGCGGGATTCCACCTTCCGTCCTTGCGCAAAGGTGCCCTCGCGCTGTTCCCTCGCACTACGGGTTGGCGCGAGAGTCAAAAGGCGTCGGCCGTCTCTGGGAATGATGGCCGCCGTCAAGGCGTCGTTGTAAGGAACTTCGTGCCCGGACAGCGACGTCTAGACTGAGTCGGAGGCGACGGTCTCACGTTCCTTTCCGTCATGTGTGTGAGCCCGGCGGGCATGGGGCGGGGGTGGAGGACAGGTGCCGGGGCCCTGGGCGGCCCCAGGCGGGCTCCCTCCCGCCCAGGCGCCTGCTCCCGTCCAGGCCGGCGGAGCCCCCAGCGCGCGTCCCGACGGAGCGCCCGTCCTTTCTGTTGAGACGGGCCCCGGGGCTTCCCGGCGTGTCGGTGAGCCGCACTCGCTCGCACCCCGATGGGCCACCGGAATCGGGCCTTCCTCGGGTAGCCTCCGCTGCCGGGGCCGGGCCTGCGGGTCTCTGCGGCCGGGGTCTCCCGCCCGGGACCCGCCGTGCCCTAGGCCGCGCTCACCTTGGGCAGAAGCTGCAGGCCTGTGCGACCGAGTCCTCGAGGTCCCTTGGCCGGGACCTGGTGGACCCGAGGCGCACAAATACGTATTTGCGCGTTTATTTGCTTGCTGTTGTGGGTCTGTTCGAGCGGAGTGCAGACTCCGTCGGAGCAGGTCTCGTTTTCCCGTGGCTGCAAAGACTTAAGAGCTTCGGGAAGGAAATTGAGGGGCATTGCATGTGCTGTCCTCCTGAACTCGGGATTAGATGGTATCGTGTGATCGCTCTAAAGTGAACGGAATAAAGTGAAAGTGGTGTGGGACTTCTCGCAGAAAGTACGTCCGATTCGGCAAATAGGTTTGACAATGACGACTGGTTGTGGACATTTTCTGTTAGTCGAACAAGCTAAATCGGCATGTTTTGACACAAATATATTTAAAACTTGAATGTAATTGTTGTTCTTGATTACAGCCTTTGTAAATACTTAATCGTATAAGCAATTCTAGATGTCAGTTTCATAGTGTGTGAGGGTGTACAGATTTTTAAATTATTTTCAAGGGTACACAAGCCAAGAAGAGCTTGAATGCTAGTGTCCTGAGGAGATAGAATATTCCAGTCCGAAGAGGCTTCAGCTGTGCCTTCTCTCTGGGTCACAGGTTAATGCCGCCCCCCTCTCCGAGTCCTGCAGATTCCGCCTCTGTAATTCTGAGACTGGCTGCTCTCTGGTGCCCAGCCTCTTCCCCAGAACCTGGCGGCCATCCTCTCTGCTCCTCAGGGGTCCTGCAGGCTCCTTAGTGAAACCCGCACAGAAGGCAGGGTGATCTCTCCTCGTCCCTGTTCTCTTCGCACCCTCAGTGGCTTCCCAGTTGCCTGAGCACACTGAGCACAGTTGAACGCCTCCCAACTCCCACCCCTTCCCTCTCCACACCGCCCCCCACCTGGTGGTTTTTCTCTAGACTCACCAGGCTCCTGGCTCTGGGCTCTCACGAGTAGGCTTCTATAAACAAAGCCTGTGTAGTGCCCCTAGTTCGTGCTCACCCAGTGTCACAGACAATCCATGTGTGGCATTTGGCACGCTGTTCTGTGTCACTGATGCTTGATGGTAAGTCAAGATTTACCGCAAACCTGAGCTGCACAAGAGCCAAAGCATCTAGTACACGTGGGAGTTGCATAGGTACTTGTTGGGAACACAAAGGAACGAGTGATGACCTTAACTGGAAGCAGTTTCAGCAGAGACTATGAAGGGAAGCATTCTCAGGAGGGAAAATCAGCAGCCCTTAGTGGCTGGCAGTTTGTGGACCTGGGTGAGGAGTCGGAACGGTGCTCAGATGTGTAGCCTGCTTGATGAGGTTCCTGGTGGTGGCACCAGGAGGGTAACAGCCATCATGAAGAGTGAGACGGGAGGAGGGGAGGGGAGGATGGCTCGGTGTGGGCCTTGAGTTTGAGGCCCCCATGGCACACACCTGAAGCTTAAGGGAAAGGTGAGGGCTGGAGGGGAAGCTTTTGTTGGGACACAAGTGGGAGCTGATAAACATACTCAGAGAAGGTCACAGAGAGGAGCGCGTTGAGTCCAGGATCAGGAGGGGCACGGGGAGCCGTCATACCTGAAAGGAGGTGCCTGCCAGGGGGACAGTTTTGATGATCGCGGGTTTAGTAGACTCTACTGAAACGATGTGTGTTTCTAGGAGTTTCTAATGTGATTAGTGTCGAATGCAGCAGGGCAGTCCAGTATGACATTCCCCCAAAACTGTTCACGTGACAGTTATTGGTGACAGAGCAAGTTCTGTGTGTGACATGGTGGGAATGGAAACCATTATATTGCAGTGAACTGAGGTGTGAATGGGGTAAGGTGAAGACAGCTGGTGTGTTTAACATCTTGAGGAGTGATTTGGGCCATGTAACAGGTGTGGAGAGGTGAGCAGGTGGACTCATGCCTTCAGTACAAAAGCAACGGTGTTCCTGGGTGCTTGAGAGGGAGGCTGGTGGGTCGAGAATCTCCAGGCTTCTGGCTTGTGCATTTGGGTTTATTGAAGTGGGGCCATCACTGAATGAAGACACCGAAGGGGGGCCTGGGTTGGTGAGGTGGTGGCTCAGAAATTTATGAGCTCCTTTTGCGTTCATTAGGTTTTGAGGTACATTTGATGCATCAAGTGGAGATTTTAGGGGAGCAGGTGAGTGGGTGGACCAGGATATGGATAGAGGTAAAAGCACGCACAGACACGTGTGCATGAGGTCCCCTATGGAGAGTGTATGGAGTGAAGATAGAGGCCAGCCTGGCCAGAGCCCTGAAGACAGCAGTGAGCAGAAAGGGCTCCAGGGGTATGGGGGAGCATGAAGGAGGATGGGCTCAGGGACAGAGGAGGGTGCAGTGCCACTGATCACCATCTGGGGGTGGTGACCAGGTTGACCACTATTTCAGGCCCGTGGGATCATTAACTGGCTGTGGCTCTTGAGAGGGAAGAGGTGACCAGAGTGACCACTGTTCTGCAAGCCTAGGCGGAAAGTTTCATTTTGACAGATCAGCGTTCTTTAGAGAGAGATATTTTAAAGATTTGCTGATCTTAAAAAAGCATTAAAGAACTTTTTAAAAGGGTAAGGTATTTTGAGAATAAAATACACTGTTTTCTTTACTCCAATCCTAGATTTTAACAACCAGGATATCAGCCACATTTTACAGAACCATATTTCCATGGATGTTTTCGTCATACTCTTACAACCCGAAAGCAAAAAATCAAACCCATATACACTGGAGCCTCTGCTTTCAAAATGATTTGTCAAAAGAAACCTGATTTTTCAGGATAAATAAACTGATTGGTTGTTGATGCTCAGAATTATTACAAGTAGGCAGTAAACACCAGTCAATTCCCACAGCATTAGCTTTTCACAATCCTTTCAGATTTCTTCATGAAGATGTTGAAAGGAGGAAGGGAGAATTTTATCACTACTTAGTTCTGCTACAGATATTCAGATGTCACAGTCTTAGCTGAACTGACCCAGCAAAGCAGGTTCAATAGGGATTGTCTGATGTGGCCCACCTTGTCCCTCCTCGTCTGATTGTTATTTCCCTTCCTACATTACACCACTAAATCCGAAAGCACTGGGTATGTCCTCAGTTTCTTTGGATGCGTAAAAGCAAGAGTAATACTTTTCTTGCTGAGCTTGTAACACACACTGTGTCCAGTGCAGTGCCACCTGAAACACATGGGATGGCGCGGGGGCCACAGTCTTGCCACTGCAGACCCGCAGGACGGCACAGCCAGTGTGCTGATGGTGGTTAGTTTGCCCAAGACACCATCATACACATTTCATGCTGAGTCTGACTCCGCCCTTCAGACCTGGCTGCTCAAGGATTTTATATACACATATTGCTTAGGGTTTGACCTTTTTAAAAAAAATTAAATAAAAGTTTATATGTAGATACAGACACACACAAGTGCATGGCTACATCTTGTCCACTTTGAGGGGGTTTTGGCGTGAGCCCAGCTCTTAGGATCAGATGTCTGGCTGGGAGGAAGGCACAGCACCGACTGGAGACAAGATATCTTTTCAGCTGGTATCCATGTTTTTTCTTTGTTTTTTGCTTTGTTCACTAAAATCTTCAGTTTACTTTTTAAATGCTCACTTTCCATTGAAGCCAAAGGAACTTTGTGGCTCTGACTACAGAGATTTTTCATTTCTCTGAATTACCATAAAAGGCAAACATTCTTGGTCTCCCACCTTCTGTGGACAGATAGGGAGATTTCATTTCTCCTTGGATTCCTAAATCTTAGAAGCAGTTGGTTCATTTTAACTCGAAAATATTCTGGTTTGGAAGGATGATTTATGAGTATTGATTTTGTTCAGAATAAAAGCTTGGGGTGTCCTTTTGGAGTCCTAATTACTCCACCCCCACTATTCTTGTTGGTATTCATGCAGATACACTCTTTCCCACCCTCACCATTGGTGAGCCCAGTAGGAGTGGGATTCTGTGTATGCAGTATTTCTATTGTGGACAAACCCAGAAAGCCACTGTTAGACCTGACTTTAAATTGTCTCTTTTGCTTTTTAAGTATTTTCATTTTGGAAAAAAACCAAACTCTTAAATTGTCACCTGTACAGTTGTAGCCACGTCCTTACCCTGAGGCCTCTACCCAGCCAAGGGTCTCCTTTTGATGCCGTCTCTTACCTTGGGGGCCCCTACAGCTTTCTGTTAAGCTCCCCTGAGGATTCGGGAATTTAGTGAAGATCTGTGGGTTTGTTTTTTTCCCTTTTTCTCTGTTACATACTTTGTGCTATCGTAAGCCTCTAAGGCCTGTTTGGGCACAACTGCTTTACTCTGAAAATCTGTAAATTGCATTGATTTTTCTGGCTTTCTGACTTGGTATATTCCTTTAGAGACTGTTGGGAAGTGAAACCAGCCAGAAATGAAAT